TATATATATATATATATATGTTGGAGGTATCACATTACCCAATATCAAACTATACTAGAAGTCTAAAGCAATCAAAACAGCATGATACTTGCATAAAAACAGACACATAGGTCAATGGAGCAGAATAGAGAGCCAAGAAATCAATTCATGTCTACATGATCATTTAATCTATGATAATAAAAGAAGCAAGAATATACGGTGGAGTAAAGACAGTGTCTTCAATAAATGTGTTGGAAAAACTGGACAGATACTAGCAAAAAAAAATAAAATGACCACCTTGTCACATGATATAGAAGAATAAACTCAAAATGGATTAAAGATTTAAATATAAGACCCCAAACTATAAAAATTCTAGAAGAAAACATAGGCAGTAAACTCTCTGACACTGCTCTTAGTAATTTTTTTTATGATATCTCTCCTTAGGCAAGAGAATCAAAAGAAAAAATAAACAAATGTGACAACATCAAACAAATTTTTTGCACAGCAAAGGAAATCATCAACAAAATGAAAAGGCAACCTACAGAATGGAAGAAGATATTTGCCTATGATACATCTGATAAGGGTTACTATTCAAAATTTATAAAGAACTCATACAACTCAACACCAAAAGCCCCCAAACAATCCAATCAAAACAGGCAGAAAAAAAATAGATAGAAGACTTGAATAGGTATTTCTCTAAAGAAGATATACAGATGACCAATAAACATATAAAAAGGTGCTTAAAGTCACTAATCATTGAAAAGTGCAATTAAAACTACAGTGAGATATCACCTCACACCTGTCATGATGGCTATTATCAATAAATTATCGAACAACAAGTGTAGGTGAGGATGTGTAGAAAAAGGAACCCTCATACATCGTTGGTGGGATTGCAAATTGTTATGGCCACTAAGGAAAATATTTTGGCATTTTCTCAAAAAATTAAAAGTAGAACTACCTTTTGATCCAGTATTTGCACTTCTGGGTATTTATCCAAAGAAAATTAAAACACTAATTTATAGAGATCTGTGTACCCCTTTGTTCGGTGCTATTTACAATAACCAATATGTGGAAGCAACCTTATTGTCCATTAATAGAGGATTAAATAAAGAAGTGTAGTACATATACATAAAGAAATATTATTTGGCCATGAAAAAGAATAAAGTTTTAGCATTTGCAATGACATGGATGGACCTAGAGAGTATTATGCTGAATAAAATAAGCCAGACAGAGAAAGACAAATACCACATGATTTCACTTATATGTGGAATCTAAGGAACAAAATAAGTGAACAAACAGAATGAAAACAGACTCACAGATATAGAGAACAAACTGGTGATTACTAGATGGGAAGAAGGCAGAGAACTAGGTGAAGAAAATGAAAGGATGAAGAAGTACAAATGAAGAGTTACAAAACAGTCATGGAGATGTAGAATACAGTATAAGGAATATTGTCAATAATATTGTAATAACTGTGTATTGGAGCCAGGTGAGTACTAGACTAATTAAAAGATCACTTCGTAAAGTATATAAATGTCTAACCACTATGCCATACACCTGAAACTAATATAAAAAAAAAATTAAAATATCAAAATACTTTTATAGAAGTTATATCTTAAATTTATAGTTATAATCATTCCTTTTTACTTGCCATACTTTATTTTTGTAGAATGTTTATAGATGAAATTTTGTTAACCAGTTCCAAAATCCACTTTTATTCATCAGACTTGGTATGTATCATTTACACAGAAACATGGTTGATGTGCCCTTGAATGTATGTTTTCCCTTGGTCTTGCCCTTTAGTCCTGAAAATCTCTATAATGGTGTGGACAGTGTCAGGTACTTGATGCTTTAGATAGTTTTACCACTGCATTCTATTTTTTCCACCTTCCCCCACCCTCAGCCATCACAGGGTAACACTCTTAGATTTTTTTCTTTTCCTTTTTCTTTTTCTTTTCCAGATAAAGAAGTTTCATCCAATTCTAATCAGGTAATAAAAAATGTTACGTATTTCTGATAAATTTCAAAATACAGATGACTTTATATAAGCATAGCTGTATGTCTTTCTTGCAATTTCTAAATGCATCTATTAATGTCTTTTGTAATTTGAATATTTTAAAATATTTAAATATTCTTGGTAATTTCAATGCAGAAATAAAAAGAAATAAAAAATTAAAAACATTTTAACGTATTTAAATGGTTGGAAAGTTCTTCTTGTCTCAATTCTACTGAAGTCTATTATTTTAATTTTTGAAACTATTATAACAAAAATAAATGAAATAAAGTCCAATAAATACACACTTATAATCTGACCAGCATAGAACATCAGTCGTTTTTAGCTATTCACATTCTTTCCAATCCTTATGTCCACAAATTAGCATTTATATTTACAAACATGGTGGATATCAACAAACATGAAAAATGTTTATACCTTTTAACACTACATCACAAGCATTTTGTTGATTTAGTTATTATGTAGTATCTTAATTTTTAATTTTTTCTTTCCTGGTTATGTAATTGCAAATGTATTTAAACTCTAATTTTTATTAATTGTATTTTATCTCATAAATATTTATGTTTGTGTACATTAATTTCTTAAGTTCTGATTGTTGTATATATTCTATCTCAATATGTGTGATATAAAGCAAACAACTTTTTCCTCTAGATATTCAGAGGGATATTAGTGTCCTTTCCTCTTTCATTACACGAGGTGACATGAAATCAGAGTGAGCAGTAACTTAGAACATAGTTCATGTTGCTAAAACGAGGTCTCTAAGATGTCAGGGTTGAAGACATGCTTTTGGATACCTGAGGTGTAGGGTCACCATCAGAAAGGAAGAAAGGTGGTGTGGCTCTGAGTTTAAGTATGACAGATGAGTCTGGATCCTTGATTTCTCTCTTCTTTGTGCTTGGCAGGAAAATGAGAGTGGCAGTGGTTCTGAAGAAGTGTGCTACACTGTCATTAGTCACAGCTCTTATCGGAGGCCTTCCTTGAGCTCCAATGACAATGGTTATGAAAACATTGATTCTGCCACAAAGAGAGTGAGATCCTTTAAAGAAGGGCCAGAAACAGAATACGCCCTTCTCAGGACAACTTGCAGTGCTGGGCCTTCTTCCTGCACCTCCGATTACGATTATGAACTTGTGCTTCCCCACTAGGACCCTCACACTCCATCATCTTCATGGATGGTATAGAACAGGACTCTCTCTCAGCAGTTCATAAAACATTCATCTCTGGCCAGAGTTTGGAAATGATATTCTTTTACTCTATTGCCTTGGGATACTCTTAAACAGCATCTCTGAAGTTTGTGTGAAGCCATATAAATTGACATAATGATATAAAGTATCCTACACCTTTTTTTCTGTAAGATTGGAGAACATGGAGATGGTAGGGAAACCTTCCTAGAACAATATGCATCCACAAATGCATGACTTATGTTTAGTTTCAACAATGCTCTCCAAATTCCAAATGCTGATATTCTTATTTCTAATTATATATTTTATTTTGAAGTGTAATCTACCTAATAACTGTTAAAATATAAGATCAGTGATGAGATCCTTTGCTAATCTGGTATTTACTTCAATGTCGCATTCTCCATGTTTTTTGAGATTTCCATGTATTTGAGATTTTACATGTGGTACCAGTTCAAGAGTCAATAGTTTTTGCTATTCACTTTCCTGAGAAGAGGAGTTGAGCATGCCATTAAAAAAAAATGAAGAAGAAATACATTAAAGGGCATTGTCTTTCTTTCCAATAGTAAATAGAAGGATTTTGTTCAAATATTAGTAAAAACTAAAAGTAAGCTATACCTACAGTTTTGTTCATAACACACTAGGTAATTTAACTTATAATTAGTTGCCTTTGCTAAAGAAGAATGAATAGCACCTGATTTTAAATTTATGACAAATTAGTAAATAATCCATTCATTTTTTTTCATTTTTAGGGAACTTTTAAATTATATTCCAACTTCCTAACAAGATCATGAAAGCTATAATTTACAAAACATCTATGATTTATTTTTCTATATAATGACATTTTGGTCACACACAAGCATCAGTCAATAGATGGACACCAGCTAACTTACTTGTTTTACACAAGTTTTGACTCTCTACTCTTGACAAGTTTTTATGCTTCTTTGTGGTGATTTCAATGTCTGGAAGAAGAACATAATAGAAATATTGCAATTCTAAAAAAGTCTCTCTGTCAGAAATATGCTAGTGTTATAGAAATCAGCTAAATTTAGGAAATTACAAAATTATTTACTCTCTGTACACCCTCGTAATTATTTTTATTTTTAATAAATATATTTAAAATAACATTAAATAATTAAAAATTGTGTAACCATCTGGAATTATAGGAGAAGGGGCAGGTGATTAATGGATAGTATTGTTTAATAAAAGAAATGCTGGAATTCAAAGGCATAAATGTGCCTGGTTTTAACCATAAGCCATGGACAGACCACTTCATCTTTCTGAGACAGCTTTTCATCATAGAAAAATTTTCAAAATTAAATATCTCATGTAGTTTTAAAAATCAATAAAACTTGTTGGAAAAGTGCTTTTTAATCTGTAAACTGTTTTCTAAAGGTTAACTTATTTTTGTGCATATAACTATTTCAAGTTTTAAAATTGTATGTATTTTAATCAATTTTATCAAGTATAATTACAATACAACAAAATGTAACTACCAGTGATGTCAAAAACATGTTGGTGTGAGGGGCCTCCTTTATCCCTCCCTTTTAAACCACAACAGGTTAAACAGATACAATCCAGTGGAAGATTCCCAGTCTAACATACAGCACATCTGAGAGCTCTGCACATCAGAGCCATTTGAGGTGGATGAATCAGGTGAGCAAGGGAGTTAAAAAGGAAGAGGAGTGGCGACAGATGCTAAGAACACAGCCCAGAGCTCCTTGCAGGACTCAGGGAGAAAGGAAGAATTAGGTTGCTGTGTATACTCTCTATACCCTGAGCATTCCAGCCAGTGATCAGGGTAGAGGCCAGGGTGAAGACAGACTAGAGAGATGAGACTTCCGAGTTCTAGCAACTGACACTGTCAGGTAGAAAATGGAGTCACAGAGCCTGGCCACCTCCCTGCACCCTCCCAGAAGTAGCAGTGGGCCCAGGAGAATCTGCAGCAGCGAGCGTCCAGCTACAGAGCTGGGAGTCTGCAGCCTGGGAACTGAGCATACAGCTCAGTGGCAGACACACTCTGTGGCTGATCCCAGTGATGGGTGGAGATACAGAGGCTGGGAATCTGAAGCCTGGTCCTCACCATTACTTGGAGGAAAAGAACCACAGGCACACCTGTGGCCTCTCTCAAGCCATCCCACACCCACCCATCCAGGCTGATTCTGGCAAAGATACTTGGGTACCTCGGGTAGCACGACACTGCATCTGCTACTGGGGAAACTCCAGGACATCAAGGGCTCTGAACTCCATCTCTTAACACATTCTCCCACAGAGGTGGAGCCCTGAGACCAAGGCTACTGGACCACAGAGGATACACACAAATTCCAAGGAAAAAAGGGCATTTTTAGTATCACAGCGGTGATCCAAGAGGCCTGGACAGTGCAGGAGGCTTGTGCACTAACTACTGTCAAACAAAAGAAAAAATTCTTATCAACCTGCTAAAGAGGCATTACTCTTCAAGACAATGTGATCTTTAAATAAGCAGAGTACATTCCCATAAATGTCTAGGTGGACTATAATCTATCAAATACTATGAATAACCAAGCTAACAAGGCAGCTCATATAGAAAATGAAAAATCTTCAGGAAATGTTATTTAAATGACATAGAATTCAAGATCACAGTCCTGAAAAAACTCAGTGAGATGCAAGAAAACTCAGATAGATGGTTTAATGAAATCAAATTAAATCAATAAACAAAAGTAATACTTTACCAAACAAATTGAAACTTTAAAAAAGCACCAAGTAGAACTCTGGAGCTGAACAACTCAATAAAGTAGATGAAGAATGAAATAGCAAGCTTAGAAAATAGAGCTGACCAGGTGGAGACATAATTAGAGATATCAAAGGCAGAAATCTGAAAAATGATACATATGGAAGAGAGAGGCTTGAGAGTGAAAATAAAAAAAAGGGAAGCACTCCACAAGAAATATCTGACACCATCATAAAGCGCAACACAAGAATAATGGGCATACCAGAAGGAGAAGAGAGGGAGAAGGGAACAGAGAGGCTAGTTAAACAAATAGTCCATGAAAATTTTCCACATCTATAGAAAAAACTGGATCCTCAAATCCAAGAAGCAAACAGACACCTAATTATCACAAACCAAAAAAGGTCTTCTCCAAACACGGTATGTTAAAACTGTCATAAATTAATGACAAAAAAGAATTCTCAAGACAGCCAGGAAAAAGAATATGATAACCAATAAAGGAAAATCCATGAGATTATCATCGAACTTTTAAGCAGAAACTCTCCAAGCTAGGAGGGAGTGGAATCAAACATTCAAACTATTAAAAGAGAGAGATTACCAGCAAAAAATAATATATCCAGCAAAGTTCTCTTTTAGATATGAAAGAGAGATAAAGACCTTTTCAGACATACAGAAGTTGAGGGAATTTTCTACCACAAAGCTGCAATCCAGGAAATACTAAAGGAGGTCATTCCACCTAAAACGAGAGGACAAAAAGATACAATACTATGAGCAAGATGACAGACAGAAACAGAAAAATCGCAATCTGTATTTAAAATAGGGTATTATAAACTTAAATATTACATATTGGTTAAAGGAGATAAACACATTTTAAAATGAAAAGGAGACAATAGCTATTGCAACTCAGAGATGAACTCACAGCATAAATAGATATAATTTGAGACAACAGAAACAGTAAAGAGGTTGGGATAAATGTCTGAATCCACAAAGGGAAATAGAGATAAGGCACACACAGAAGAACAAGGACTACCATATATACAAAACTTTCATTTATATAAACTTTATGGTAACTACACAAACAAAAAGAATCTGGAACTGGAGCACATAGCATAAAAAAAGATGGAACAGAGGAAAAATCACAGAACACCACCAAATTAAAATAATAGATAGACACACAAGGGTAAAGAAACAATAGAGACACTAGAAAACAAAATATAAAATAGCTATAGAAAAATCTTATATAACAATAATTAACCCTGAAAGTACACAAACTGAACTCATCAATAAAAAGGCACAGAGCAGCAGATTGGATCAAACCATAAAACCCAATTCTATGTTGCCTTCAAGAGACACATCTCAGCTGCAAAGACAAATATAAACTCAAATGAAAAGATGGAAAATGATACTCTAAATAGCATTCAGAGAAAGCGGGTGTAGCCATACTTATATCAAAAGAAACAGACTTCAAGATAATAAAGTTAACAAGAGACAAAATGGACACTACATAATGATAAAAGGGACAATACAGCAAGAAGACATAACACTTATCAATATATATGTTCCCAATCAGGGAGCACCAAAATATATAAAGCAACTACTAACAGAACTAAAGGGAGAAACTGACTAACACATGATTATAGTAGGGGACTTAAACGCCCCACTGTCAGCTATGAATAGGTCATTTAAACAGAAGATCAATAAGGAAATATCAATCTAAACTGACATACTAGACCAATTGGACATAATTGATATTTACAGAGCCTTTAATCTCCAAAACACCAAATACACATTCTTCTCTAGTGCACATGGAAAATTCTCAAGGATGGACCATATGTTGGGACACAAAACTAGCCTCAACAAATTTAAGAAGACTGAAATCATATCAAGCATATTCTCTGACTACAATGCTTTGAAACTGGAGATCAACTGCAAAAAAAAAAAAAAGTAGAAAACCTAACAAACATGGAGATTAAACAACATGCTACTAAAGAATGACTGGGTTATAAAAATAAAAGGAAAGATCAAGAGATGCATAGAAACAAATGAGAATGGAAGTACAACATATCAAAACTTTTGAGATACAGTAAAGTGGTAATAAGAGGACAGTTCATATCATTACAGACTTATCTCAAGAAATAAGAATAATCTCAATAAACAACCTTACATCTTTAAAAAGCTAGAAAAAGAAGGGAAGCCCAAAGTCTGCCGAAAGAAAGAAATGATAAAAATTAGAGCAGAATTAAATAAAATTCAGAACAAA